GAGATCTGGGCCAGCTAGCCTAGCCCTGCCATGACAAGGCACTTCAGATTCCTCTAGCTCTGTCTTCAGGGCAACATGTGCATTTGTGTAGGTTAAAGTTTGGGACTTGGCAGATGCCCAAGAGCCTGCTCCTCTGACACAGATGCTTCAGACACTTGTTCTGTTCCAGGTCTCTGGCTGCCCTGACTTGTGTGGCCTATGCACGTCATCAAGGGATATGGTGCCAGGGCTCTCAAGGCACGCGGGGCTTGCACCCATCCCAAACAGCTGCACAGCCTCCACTGTGGAAGCCCCACCCCTGGAAATTCTGTGGCGGTGGCTTCTCATGGGTGCCAGTCAGTCCTTATTTGGACTGGCTGCATGATGGGCTAGCAGGCTTTTCTGGCAATCAAGGCCACCAAGTGACTCTTACTGGTAAGTGGTGATATAAAAGAAATGATAGAAGACACTAAAAAATGGTTTCTTCATGTTGCTATTTTTAAATACTTCTCTACAAATAAATTGCATGGATATAAGCTTCATTTCCATTTAAAGATAACCCTAATGGGATATGTTTTCTATTTAACATTAGATTTTGAAATGTTCAACACCTATGTAAGCTACACATAATAATTCTGGTCAGATGCATGCAAAAAACAGTCCCAGTGAAGATCACCTTGATGAATGATCACTTTCACATGTTTGTTTTATTTTAACATCAATGCTCATTATGCTTATTGTTTTAACAGATAAAAGTATAACTCCAACAATTAAAAACTGTGAAAGGCTCCAAAGCACCACAGTAGCTAGCACTGTTCAACTGGGTCACTGGCTGGACGATGATAGGTCACAGGCCTGCTGAGCCTTACCACCTGAAGTTTGGAGGGTTTCAAATGAACTACATTGAAACTGTTTTATTAATTTAAAAAATAGAAACAACAGCATTACTACCTTCGGTGATAGGAATTTCCTGGAACTTCTCTGCCAACTTGGAAGCTAGCTGGGAAACTTAAAGTTACCTCACAGGGGGAAAAAACTCCAAAGTCCAGAGACAGTGTCTGATTCTACACCAGTTTCTTCTAGAACTCTGGTACCACTCAAGAAGCAATTTATATTAACATAGAATGTAGTCATTAGAATTGTTCTGTGATAATAATTAAACAATGATGTATGGTATCATAGGTCCACAAGTCACTGTTCTAAGTCAAAACAAACAAACAAACAAATAAACAAACTGTAAAAGTAATGAAAGGTGAACTACTAGATATGCAAAAGAAAATCTGGAAACTTAAAAAAAGAAGAACTGAATAGAAATGAACTTAAGAGTACATTAGATAATCGATTTTATTAAATTTTTTTTTTCAACGTTTATTTATTTTTGGGACAGAGAGAGACAGAGCATGAATGGGGGAGGGGCAGAGAGAGAGGGAGACACAGAATCGGAAACAGGCTCCAGGCTCCGAGCCAGACACGGGGCTGACACGGGGCTCGAACCCACGGACCGCGAGATCGTGACCTGGCTGAAGTCGGACGCTTAACCGACTGCGCCACCCAGGCGCCCCAGATAATCGATTTTAATTGGTACATTAAAAAAATATAAAGTTTTATGCTTTAAAAATAATCATTTTATTCATGAATAGATCCAGAGCTAATATACTGCTTTTTTTAAAAAAAAAATTTTTTTTTTAAACGTTTATTATTTTTGGGACAGAGAGAGACAGAGCATGAACGGGGGAGGGGCAGAGAGAGAGGGAGACACAGAATCGGAAACAGGCTCCAGGCTCCGAGCCATCAGCCCAGAGCCTGACGCGGGGCTCGAACTCACGGAGTGCGAGATCGTGACCTGGCGGAAGTCGGACGCTTAACCGACTGCGCCACCCAGGCGCCCCCATATACTGCTTTTTAAAATAAGTTTTGAAATAGCGAACAGAAAACTGACAATAGCTTCAGATGATTGCACTTACACATGGAAGGAAAAGTGTTTTTTAATACAGGCTAAACATTAAAAAAAAAGTGCCATTTTAAAACCTTTTTCTTAATCGTATGAAAAGGAAATGATGAAAAACCATATTCAACTGAATGAAGAAACTAAAATTTTTGTTTCATCTGTGTTCCGAATCACTGATATATATGCACATTTTATACTGGTTCTTCATAGATCTGAGGTAGCACAGGTCAGCAGACCAACAGAACAATTCTACAAGGCACCATTGGTTTTGTGTGACAGAATGCTAGCTGACACCTGAGATCTAGAAATACAGAAAAAAAAAATTCAAACATTAGTATATAGATTTTTCTTCAATTTCCTCTGATTTTATATTGGATTGATATTGATACTATATTCACTATGGTTTATCTTCTTGTTCAAGCAGGTTTTTCCTCAAATCTATTTGAAAGATTCCTTCACAGAGTCACAAATGAAAATAGTTCCTTTAGGTGTGCCCCTGCACTCAACTGAACACCACTTAAGACCGTGGTTAGAACAGATTTATGTGTTTTTCCTGTGACAGATATTTTCCAATAGATTCTTCCCCTATGTCTTTGTGATCTCTTTTTAGGTATCAGTAAAGATCCCTGTATCTTCCTAGTGTTTCTGAAAATCCTTACATGCTTTAATCATGTGACTTCTTTCATGCTTTAATTGGCAATATGATTAATGTACAAAAGAAATCACATGATTAAAACCTGGAAGGATTTTCGGAAACACTAGGAAGATATACACACACACACACACACACACACATTATATATACATATTCTTCTCTCACAGCAGCAGAGAGGCCGAAACCTAGTTGAAATATTACAGGATCATGGTGATAGTTCCTATAGCCATGCCATGCCATGTCATGGAACAGACAACTTCTCTGGGTCAAGATAATTTTACTAGAGTTCTGCTTTCAGAGCTGCAAGGCAAACCAACAACTATTGTCTCCATAAACACTGTTCTCAATCTTACTTGCAATCACAGAACACGGTCCAACAATTAATACTGGTCATTAAAACCTCTTAGAATCAGGGGCGCCTGGGTGGCTCAGTCGGTTAAGCGGCCGACTTTGGCTCAGGTCACGATCTCTCGCGGTCCGTGGGTTCGAGCCCCGCGTCGGGCTCTGTGCTGACAGTTTGGAGCCTGGAGCCTGTTTTAGATTCTGTGTCTCCCTCTCTCTGACCCTCCCCTGTTCATGCTCTGTCTCTCTCTGTCTCAAAAATAAATAAACGTTAAAAAAAAATAAATAAAAAAATAAAACCTCTTAGAATCTATTTTCCATGTCTGCTTCCTTTTACTAAGTATAGTATCTCTTGCATTTCTAACCATCTAGTTAAGAAATGGGCTGCATTATATAATATGCCATCACTGCACAGCAAGTAAACCAGCATGGTAAAGTTATGCTACCACACCCATATAAAACCTATTCAATTAGTTATTAAACTCTATTCTGCTTAAATTGTACTCAAACTGTCATCCTAGACAATTATAAAACTCCCTTCAGGGGAGACAGAAATGATGATTAAGAGAAATTAACAAAATCATCAGAGAGATGCTTAGCAAATACTGAGGTGCCTGGGTGGCTCAATAGGTTAAGCATCCCACGCTTTTTTTTTTTTTAACGTTTATTTATTTTTGAGAGAGAGAGAACGAGTGGGGGAGGGGCAGAGAGAGAGGGAGACACAGAATCCGAAGCAGGTTTCAGGCTCTGAGCTGTCAGCACAGAGCCCGACGCAGGGCTCAAACCCACGAACGCGAGATCATGACCTGAGCCAAAGTCAGTTGCTTAACCGACTGAGCCATCCAGGCGCCTCAAGCATCCAACTCTTGATTTTGGCTCGGGTCATGATCTCACAGTCACAAGACTGAGCTCTGCGTCAGGCTCTGCTCTGAGTGTGGAGCCTGCCTGAGATTCTCTCCCTGCCTCTTTCTCTATCCTCTCCTGCCCCTTCACTCTGCTGCACACACGCTCCTGTACACACACTCGCTTAAAATATATATATATATGTGTGTGTATATATATATATACATATATATATATGCTTAGTAAATACTAGTTTATACATTCTGCTGTTCATCTATAGGTCTTTATCTTTCATAAACAGCATGTCTATACAATAAACCTATATTTCATCCTCTTCCAACTCATGAGTTCTAATACATTCATCATTTTCCTACCCATTTTCCTATCTTCTAAGATTTTTTTTTCACTTAATCAGCAATTTTCAAATTTCATTATCAGTGGAACTCTTTGTTCCAATTATATCTTATGGAGAATCCCACTACCTGAAGCAATCAAATGCAGAACCTCCCTGATAAAAAGAATAGGGTTGCCAGTAGACATAGCTTGGAAATCATGGTTCTAAAACATTCAAGAAAGCGAAGTAAAGATACAGCCAACTGGAATTTCTTCATTTCCAATGGTTATAGTTAATTCCTTCCCTTGTTTCCAATTTTCAAGAACATTTCTTAAGAACAGTTGCTTTTACCTTAGCCCATTAATGGAATAAAAGCACAGTGCCTTACATACAGTTAAGTACTTGAATTCATATTTCTTTTCAAACTATTCAAAAATGCAAATTAGTAGAAGATGTAATCCCATGACTAGGTTATTAAAATCAGTTTTTAAAATACTTTAATATGTGATAGAAAAAACATTTTTTAAATTATCCTTGCTTCATAACTGTAACTGCTGTAGTTCAGTCCAAACACTACCCAAAAGACTCCTTAGACTCTCAAGAAAACAAAAATCATTTTAGTCATTCTGAGAAGATTATCTTCCCATGCAATCATTCTGTTGCTCTATTTCTGGATTAAAAAAAAAAAAAAAGCCTCAGTTATATATTCTATGCAGATTTCAAACCTGATTTGCTTCAAAGGCCAGGGAAAAAAGTCAAGTTTTGTCAAGCTTAGAAAGATTTTACAAAAGGTAAAAAATGAGATTTTTTTTCTAAAATAAGCTCATTTGTGTTCTCCAGGCTTTTCATAACCTCCTTCCACAGAAACAGAAGGCTCTTCAACTAACTTTTTAATAAATCTAGGCCTCAAAAACCAACTCCGTGCTTAAGTATAAAAGGCACCCCTGTTCTTCGATGTCCCTCACAGGCTGGACGGGCAGCACCAGGTGTGAAATCCGGCTCCAGAGTCCACTCAATTTGTCAGAGTCCATGTGGTTGAAGGAGCTGGGAGTGTCTGAGTTGGTAAACCTGGCCCAGAGGAAATCTCTCACTTTTTCTTCAGTTTCCCTTGGGCCGACACTTGCTTCTAATGTTTCCTCCTCTAGGAGAACAGTCAGGACCAGGGCCACATCTTTAAAGGCAGCATTCTCATGGTCACAATACTTGTAGAAGATTAAGGTAGAGCCTGCAGGAAGGGATTCAAAGTGGTGCACCACAGCAGCCTTCTGGCCATTCTCAAATCCTGAGCTCAGCTCCGTGTCAACCAACTGCTTGACCACATCACTGTCCTGCAAGGTTCTTGCAGCCCCGTCAATCTGAATGGCAGAGACTTTCTGGGAAGAGGTATAGGCATCCGCAACGAGGTGGCTCAGGCACTTCAGGGTCTCTCTTCCCTCCTGAGCTGCTGTAAATATGATGGTGGCTGGCTCAGTGGGGTTTGAAGCATTGAGGTGTTTCTGGAGAAATTTACGTCCTCTCTGCCACAAAAAGGAACTCTGGCCTGGGAATTTATCCTTCAGTTGGCTGAAATGAACCAAAAAGGCCTCCAAAGCTGGATTTTTGGGCACTTGCTGGGCTGAAGAGGAATAGTAGCTATTACCCCAATTTAGCAAAACAAGAGTCGTGACCACAGAGCCAAAAAAGATGGAGCCTGTCAGAGAATGGGAAAATAAAACACAAAATTAGAGAGAAGGTGGATCAGAAATAAAATCTGTGGTAAACTGAAATGAGTTAGAGATACTGCCAGATTTTACTAATTGTGGTGAGTTTCTTTCGCCTGAATCCTTTAAACTTTGAGCTAATTTAGGTCTACCAGAAACACTTCTCTAATTTCTTAGATTTAATTATTTGATGATACAGTATTTTTGTTAAAAGGTAAGTTTATGTATTTGCTGCTATAACTAATGATGCAATTTAGAAATGATCAGGATAGTCCTCCTCCCTCTCAAAGTACCTATTACTTCTAATAGGCCATTTTTTCCTAAAGGGTCAAAATGTAAAAATGCCACATGGAAAGTTAATACTCTGTAAAAAGTATTTTAGTTTCTTATTTACGAAAAGTCCTTCCTCCTATGGGAATTCTCATTTTGTTCAGGATGCCAAAATATTACGGTTACCAGATAACCAGGATGGTAACAACGTGGTTACCAGAGGGGAAGCGGGTGAAATAGGTGATGCGGATTAAAGAATTCACTTGTTGTGATGAGCACCAGGTGTTGTATGGAATTGCGAATCACTATACTGCACACTGGAAACTAACAGAACACTGTATGTTCAGTACACTGGAATTAAAACAAAGTAAAATAAAAACAAAAATACTAAAACAATGAAATTGTTTAAATGCTAGTCTTCTAGGTGTTTTCTCTGAGGATTTCTGAATGTGAATCGACACTGCAGTAGGACCAATTTTGTTCTCACCATAACGCAAATAATCCTTTTTATTCATCTTTCTTCTGGTATCCAGTGCACTCTCTTTCTTTTCTTCCAACCTTTGTGTTTCCTGTTGATGACTTTCAGCCTCTGCTGGGGAAAAGGAACGTTCTCTTTAGACAATATGCTAACGGGGTATCATACACTCTAGGCCTCTTACCAAATCAAAGAATTATTAGGCTGAGAGGATTTCTATACTTTTTTATACAAACCTAACTTTTTTCCTGTCTTTTCCTTAAGGCTATTACTTTTATTCTACGTAGAACAATAAAATGAAGTCCTCACTGGCCCTTACATCAAGGACAAGAAACAAGCACCCTAATATTGCGGCCAAACCTATCTACAATGTATTTCGACAAAATGTTTAAAATTAAAAAGGGATTTTATGGGGCGCCTGGGTGGCTCAGTCAGTTGGGCGTCTGACTTTGGCTCAGGTCATGATCTCGCGGTCCGTGGGTTCGAGCCCCGCATCGGGCTCTGTGCTGACAGCTCAGAGCCTGGAGCCTGTTTCGGATTCTGTGTCTCCCTTTCTCTCTGACCCTCCCCTGTTCATGCTCTGTCTCTCTCTGTCTCAAAAATACATAAACGTTAAAAAAAGAAAAATTAATAATAAAATAAATAAGTAAAAAGGGATTTCAGAAGTGTTAGCTGGGGGCACCTGGCTGGCTCAGTCAGTAGAGCATGAGACTCTTGATCTCAGGGTTGTGTGTTCAAACCCTACACTGGGCGCAGAGTTTACTTTAAATAAATATGTGGCAGCTATTAAAAGATAAAGCATACATAATAAAACATTTTTAAAAAAAAAAAATTTTTTTTTCAACGTTTTTATTTATTTTTGGGACAGAGAGAGACAGAGCATGAACGGGGGAGGGGCAGAAAGAGAGGGAGACACAGAATCGGAAACAGGCTCCAGGCTCTGAGCCATCAGCCCAGAGCCTGACGCGGGGCTCGAACTCACGGACCGCGAGATCATGACCTGGCTGAAGTCAGACGGTTAACCGACTGCGCCACCCAGGCGCCCCTATAAAACATTTTTTTAAGAAAGAAGCATTAGCTGTACGCAAGACTCAACATCACAGGGCAAGGACACTCTAATTCCAGGGTTCAAGTCACATGGCTCAAGACCCCAAGCATACACATAACGAAGGCCCTAAGTTTTGAGACAGGAGAGATTACTGTACAGGTACAAAATAGCTCACAAAAGTAGGTTTGGAACTCTTAATGATGGAATCATGAAAAGTAAGGAATACAAGATTAAGAAAATTTATGAACTACGTAAAAATGTAGGTGTGGGGTGAGACACCAATCTTAAAATGTGTGGCTGAAAAAAAAGGAGGGCACTATTGTGTAGCACTCGAAGGCACTCTACGGTATAGGTGTGTGCTTACAGGAAAAAGAACTCAAACGGTACACTCTATTAACATAAAGAAACAGGTGGCTAGGTGGCTCAGTTGGTTGAGCATCTATGGCTCAAGTCACGGTCTCATGGTTTGTGAGACTGTGGGATCGGGCTTGCTGCTGTCAGCCCAGAGCCTGTTTCAGATCCTATCTCCCTCTCTCTGTCCCTCCCCTGCTCATGGCTCTCTCAAAAATAAACATTAAAAAAAAATAAATGAAACAGTTTAAAAAAAGAAAAGAATCATCTTCACCTATAAAGGATAGTGTATTTATTCACATCACACTAAAATAGGAACTTAAGGTATCATAGCATAGAATATGAAAGGATCTTTAATGATCACCTACTGTAACCCCACCTTACCTATCCTGACAAAAGGCCCAGGGATGGGAAGGGCTTTGCCCAAGGTCACATAAAGAGATGTGGCTAAGTGGGGCACCTGGGTGGCTCAGCCGGTTAAGTGTCTGACTCTTGGTTTCAGCTCAGGTCATGAACTTGGGTTTGTGAGTTCAAGCCCCGCATAGGGCTCTGTGCTGACAGTGTGGAACCTGTTTGGAATTCTTTCTCCCCCACCCCCACCCCAGCCCTTCCTCCCTCCCTCCCTCTCTCTCTCTCAAATAAACCTTAAGAAAAAAAAAAAAAAGAGATGTGGTTGAGTTTAGAACAAGATTTCTCATCTGCTAGATTAGTTCATTCCATTATATTAAGCTGCTCTGCATACACAGAGTGCATTTTTAAAACAATATTTTCTTCCTCCACTCAGTGAACCTGCATATGATGAAATCTGATGGGACATAATAGTTCATACAAGTCACATTCATTCATTCATGTAACAGCTATTCATAAAGTTGCTTCTCTGTGCCAGGTGCCACAGAGACATAATGGATGAGAGAGAGAGAGTTCTTGACTTCCCTGAAGTTACAGACTATACTAATGATTAATGAACAAAACATGTATTTGAGATAGGTCACTGATTTATAGTGAAACATTAATTTCCAGCCCTTAGTCAAGCCCCTGATGAACAGAATGTGTAATATTTTATGTTCGTTTGCATTGGCCAATAGGCATTTTAGACTGAGCTCTTCTAAGTACTTATAAAATACATATCCACACATAGAATTATAGACAGTGAGAGCTGGATACCTCTTGTCCAAATTCTTCATTCTACAAATAGGAAACTGAAGTACCAGGAAGTTAAGAGACTTGCTCAAGGTCACCCAAGCTAGCAAGTGGCAGGGCCACAACTAGAATCTGTGTCTCTTTTGAGTTCCAGCTAAGGACTTAGCCACTAGGAAGACAGTATCTTCGTAAGAGAAGATATGATGGTTATTCTCCTTAATATACAAGAGGAGAAAATCATACAGAGAGAAATTAACGGATGTGCTCGAAGTCTTATAAAACTAAAATATGACTGAGTTAAGGGCACTGTACCACTGATGCTGGTTTTTAAATATATCCATCTCTTGATTTACGTAGTGTTTAGTTCCCCCAAAAGTAAAAGCTTTAAAAAACTGTAAATAAAAAATAGGCTCCTAAGAATTAAAGAAAAAGCTAGTAAAGTTTTAAAAAGTCAGGCCTTCCCCCACCGCCCCCCCCCCTTTTTTTAATCTTACTACATTACTACAAACAGTAAGTAAATAAAAATACTGTTTAAAAATGCAGTTTATGTATTGGAAGCTACGTAAGTAGTGTAGTGAGCTGGTCTAGGAGATGAGAAACCTCATTCTAAGTTCAGTCATATGTCTTTAAGTGACCTTGGGCAAGGCCCAAAGGCCTTGGTCCTATGAAGGAAAGAGAAGCTGACAAAAAGGCCCCTGACCTATGCTGTGTCCTCAGTGACAGAGCAATACGAAACAGAAGTCCAGTGGGCTCCCTTACCTGGTGCCAGCAGTCGCCTCCGCACTGTGCCCTGGTTCTCTGGCCCTGCATGGGAACGATCAGGGCTTGGGGCATCCTGAGGGTCCATGGCAGGTGGCTCCTGTGCAACTCCAGGTCCGCTGCTCACTTCCTCAGGGAGGGCTGCAGAGTCGCTTCGTAAGAGCACATCATCTCTTCCCACCTTGTCACTTGGAGAACAGCTGAGTTCTGGATCCAAGGGTTTTTCACCTGGACTTTCTGAATCAGGGAGTTGATGGCCTTGCTCTTCATCCTGAAAGCTCTGGTTGTTCTCATGTTCTGTTTGATCCTTTGGATAGTTCCCATAATTTGTTTCATCTGAATCTTCTGATTGGTCACCTGCGTCTGCACTTCCTGGACCTATATTTTCTACCTCTTGGTGGACTTTGTTAAGACCACAGACAGGGTCTGGGGTCTGAGCTTCTTCAGTGGTACTTGCTGTGACTATGGTCTCCTGTGCCTGAGAACTTACTGATGGGTCATTTTTCAAATCCTCTTGAGAGGCTATTGAGATAAAAATTTATAATTTTAATTGAAAATAACATCCCTATTTTTTTGTATTTTAACAAGGTCCCTAACTGAATAATAAGTAAAATGTATATAGATTTTTATGGTTAGCAAGGCACTCTTCCTAAACATTATTTCTCTTGATTTCCACTAAAGGTAAGACAAATTTATTATGTGTTAATAAATCTAACAAATAATACTAATGTAAAACTATTTTGAATAACAGAACCAATTTTTGTGTATTAAACACATCCTCTTCCCTGATGAAATAATGTATCTAGGCAATAATCATCAGTAGCAACTAAAACCATTATGCAAAAGGCTTATGAGAAGTTTTATAATGGATGAACCAGACTCACAACTGCTGAACCAGCTGATCAATCTTTAACATCACAAAAACAGGGAAAACCAGACATCATTAACCTCCCAATTCAATGCAGTAGGAAGTACACTATACCATGTATAGTATTCTTTTTTTTTTAAATTTAAAAAAAAAAAATTTTTTTTTCAATGTTTATTTATTTTTGGGACAGAGAGAGACAGAGCACGAATGGGGGAGGGGCAGAGAGAGAGGGAGACACAGAATCGGAAACAGGCTCCAGGCTCTGAGCCATCAGCCCAGAGCCTGACGCGAGGCTCGAACTCACGGACCGCGAGATCGTGACCTGGCTGAAGTCGGACGCTTAACCGACTGCGCCACCCAGGCGCCCCTTAATTTTTTTTTTCATGTTTATTTTTGAGAGAGAGACAGACAGACTGTGAGTGGGGGAGGGGCAGGGAGAGAGGGAGACAGATCGGAAGCAGGCTCCGGGCTCTGAGCCATCAGCACAGAGCCCTACGCGGGGCTCGAACTCACAGTCCGCGAGATCATGACCTGAGCTGAAGTCGGACGCTCCACCGACTGAGCCACCCGGGGCGCCCCTCAGGTATAGTATTCTTGCCAAACAAACGAACTGATATATGATCAAGATTCTAGAGCTACCTACCAGTTTCCATGAAATACAGGGATAGAGGAATATATTAAATCATGCCTCAGGACGTAATTGGTAAAACCCAGGATGGGAAAATTCAAAGGGACAAAAGACTTCTGTTACTTTAATAACAGCAAGAGACAAAAATAAATGGCAAGAAAAGAAAAGGAGGGGTGCCCTACTGATTAAGAGAAATGAAAGAGACCAAATGCACCAATCAAAGGCAATGTGTGACCTGTTTGCATCTAGTGGCAAACAATTATTGAAAAAGTATTTATGAGTTAATCAGGAAAATTTGAATGCCAGATATTCCTTTTACTAAGGAATTACTGGTCATCCTTTAAGTACAATATATTGTGATGATTTTTTAAAGCATCCTTTTGGAGGTAAGTATTCACATATTCATGGCTAAAATTACACGATGTCAACAACTTGCCTCAAGAATATGGGTGATAAAGGAGAGTGAGAAACTACAGATGAAACAATATGTTCGCAGCAGATGGAGCCATTTGATGGGAACATGGGATTCATTTCATCTCTCTCTCTCTACTCTTATGTATGTGTGGTATTTTTTATAGTAAAGCCTAAGAAAAAAAAAAAAAAAGCAACCTAAAAGATAAATCAATCAAATACAGAGAGTGGCCCATTAAAAAGAAAAAAAACAAAACAAAACACCAGCTGTGGAGAAAAAAAAGATTAAGGAGGCAAAAAAAAAAAAAAAAAAAAAAAAAAAAAAAAAAGATGTTGAGACAACTGGAGAAGTGTACATACTGATTAAATTTGTGATAATATTAAGGAACAATTATTAATATATTTTCCAGGTATGATGCTATTTTAGTTACTTTAAAAAATCTATCTTTAAGAGATATAAACTAAATGATATAATGCCTTGGATTTGTATTTAAATATTCCATGGCAGGCAACAAGATCAACATTATACAGGTTATAACTGAAATTTAGATGATGAGGGGGCCCTGGGTGGCTCAGTCGGTTGAGTGTCCGACTTCGGCTCAGGTCACGATCTCGAGGTTGATGAGTTCAAGCCCCATCTTGGGCTCTGTGCTGACAGCTCAGAACCTGGAGCCTGCTTGGGATTCTGTGTCTCTCTCTCTCTCTGTCCCTCTCTGGCTTGCACTCTGTCTCTATCTCTCTCACAAAAAATTGAATTAATATAAACGTAAAAAAATATTAAAAAAAATTAGATGTTGAAATAACTATATTATACACCTGAAACTAATTATTACACTGTAAATTATTAACTGGTATAAATGAACTGGAATTTAAATAGACTTAAAAAAAGGAACTAAATGTTGAGTGCATGGGAATTCATTATAGTATTCTACTTTTATATATTTTAAAATATCCTCAATAAAAGGTCTAAGTAAATATGCCCTTCTCTTCTGAAATATCTACTTCATAATTTGCCTGTTTGATAGCTCTTACATATATATACAAGCAGGATGAATAAACAGATGGCACATCTGTTTTCTTGATTTAAAAAAAAGAATACAGCTCTAAAAACTGGTCTGCCATCCCCTTCTAAGATGCATGCATTTTTCTAACACTATGGGTTCCTACTACTGGAGTCTCTAAAACATGAACCTTCCTTATAATTCAGGTCTGATGTTATGGTAGACTTCAGCAAATAAAAAAGAATCATCATCATAACAAATTAATCCACTAAGCTAACTTCTTTACTTCCAAACTTCAGGTTTCAGTCACCTGAGATCTTAGTACAGGTCTAGATTCCTACAGCATGAACCTGCTGTACAGACTAGTCTTACCCTCTGCAGGATCCCTAAGTCCTCTGTCGGCCATGTTTGTGTTCTAGCTCTTCAGACTTTGGGATACTTTTTGTTAATGTCTGTTTTTTCTTGTGAAGATGTCTTGTTTTCTTCTTGTCCCAAGTCCCAACAGACTCATGCTTCCCGTGGACCCAGGAAACAAGGCATATATAGTGACTAAAATAAAATGAAAAGAATTAAATGACTTTTTATTCATACATGGGAGAAATGCCGATTTCAGCTTCATTTATTCAATCTGTTTACTCTGAGTAGTAGCTCCTCTTCGAAACTTTTCTGGTGAAGAAGAAATGTTTTCTGGTTTTAGTGAGGATCACCAAATCCTTAACTACAAGTAGAAAAAAAAGTTTCAGATTATTAACCTTGCATGGATGCCATAATCTCCTACTATGTTCCATTGTGTTGAAAGGATCAGAAAGGCCAAGTGGCCAGAATCTTAAAGAGAAGTTCTTTGAAAATGGAATGAAGAGTAATTCTAAGAGTAGAAATTTAAGTCACTGCTCAGTTAATCACTGCAGGTTTCCTTTACGTCTTCAGTTTCTGCCCCATATCAATCTCTCAGCCTATTAGAAGCTTTCACTTATCATTATTAAGTAACAATGCACAGGGAGTACCTACAAACTAAGGTGGCTGCCTTGGTGTCAGGTGTAGGAAATAAACACGGGAGTTATGTCACTGACTTTTTAGTGGTTTTCTCGCAGTATTCTTTTTAGATCGCTTTATACAATGCCTTTCTGCGCAGTGCTCAAAGACGACTCACGTAGAAGTTACTATGAACTATATACAAAAGGAATCAAAATCAGAGGCAACTCATAATAAAATGTTCTATCATTTTATAGTTGAATCATTTTTTGTCAGGAACAATACTTTCCTTATCTGTAAAAGTGACTAAGGACTGCTATGAGGACTAAATATAAAAATATATGTGAAAAAGAGGTTTAGAAAGTGTTACATTGATAGCCTAGTTGCAAGGCTACCCAACTAACTTTATGTCTTTTTCACAGCACTCTTTTGTAAAATTTAATTTTACAAAATAACATTTTAATTCCACATGTATGGTATTAGCCTAGTGTAGAGTAAGAACTCCCTATTTTAATTAAAAATAATATGAATAAATAAATGGATCCATGAATGTATAGAGTGGTACCAATTATAAACTTGAAGGGAAGGGAGGAGTTAGAGGCAGGCCTCCTTTCTGCTGGTGTGAACATTTAGGAACACGTCTAAGATTTGGAGAGTTCCTTGTCACCCTTTTATCTTCTTCAATCGCCTGAGACTGGGCTTCCAGCTCTCCTTTTCACATTACCATCATATGCTGCAATGAGGGTTTCTCTCCTATCCTAGTTCATGAAAGAAAATAAAAGGTCCTCAGTCTTTTTCAGATTTCTTAAGACAATTTTTTCCTGCCAGCCCAAACCGAGAAAACAACGGGTAAAACTTTCCTATGCACCAGGACAAAAATTTTAGAAAGCAAACAGGCTATCACACAATAACTATAAGGTATCTCAAAATAAAAATTAAAAGGTACCTGGTAAAAAAACCTAACAACATATATGCAAGAACTTTATAGAGTGGGGTGAGTTTTATGCTATGTAAATTATACCTCAATAAAAATGTACTAAAAAAAAAAACTTTAGGAAGAAAAGCATAAAACTTTATTAAAGGACATAAAAAAGACCTAAGTAGAGAAATATATTAAGTGCATAGACAGTAAGACTCTAAATCAATAATGTCAATTCTCTCCAAACTAATCTACGGATTCATTGTAAATTAAAACAAAATCTTAAGACAAGTTTTTGATTGTTGTTTTGTTTCTTACAGAATGGACAAGCTGACCCTAAAATTCACAAAGAGCAGTAAAGGATTAGGAAGAGTTAAGGTAATTCCGAAGGAGGGGGGCTGGCTATCTTTATCAGATATATCAAGACTTCTTATAAACCTATAGGAAATAAGAACAATAAGGGCATTGGTGCAAGAACAGACAAAGAGAATATACAGAATATAGAGCCAGGAAATACATGCATACATACATAAAGGAAATTGGCTAAGTGACAAAAGAGAAAGAACGCATTAACGAGTAGTTTGAGGACAAGTGACAACTCAAATGGGAAAAAAAGTTAAGATTTCTACATACCACCTGACACAAAAGTCAATTTCAGATTAAAGACCTAAGTATAAAGAGCAAAACTTTGAATTTTCAGAAGAAAATACCAAATATCTTTATAACCTCAAGGTTTTCTTAAACAAGATATAAAATACACAAGCCATAAAGGGAAAATCTGACAAATGTGATCACATTTTTAAAATGTTAATTTCTATACAAATCATCAAAATCAAAGTTAAAACATAAATTCACTGACCAGAAAAATACCAGCCAACACATAAAATCAGCAAGGGATTAATATCCAGAATACATAGACTCCCCCAAATCAGTAAGAGACAGATAATGCTATGAAAAAATAAATGGGGAAAAGAGGTGAACAAACTGTTAAATGAAGAGGAAACCTAGCAGTCTAATGAATCAATAAGAGTGGTTAAGGAAATGCAAAATAAATTAACAATGACATACAATACCATTTTACAAGTACCGACTGGCAAACAAGTCGGGCAACACCAGGTGTTGGTGAGGATATGGATACACAGAGACTTTTAAACCCTATTGGCAATGAGGTAAACTGCTATTCAATTCTGGAGAGCAATATGGCAATTATCTGGTAAAGACAAGACACGCAGATTCTACAAACAGGCAATTGCACTTTTAGACACTTGCAGTAGACAAACTCTCCCTCAAGTGCCCACTGATATTTGTGGCAGCATTGTTTAAAATGAGGGAAAAAATGAGACCACCTAAATGTCCATGAATAAGGAAGAGGATTAAAAAAAAAAAAAACTGCGGCATATTCTTACAATGTAACATTATATACGGCAATTAAACCAATGAATTACCTATCTCAAAAATTTGTAAAAGTGCAGTATTGTAACTTTTACATACAAGTTAAGAAACAAACTTATACTATATAGAGTGATTCAAAAGAAGAACAAATGGCATAAATATGAACTGATACAAGCCACGACATGGATATATCTTAAGAAATGTGAATGAAAAAAGACCGACACATAGGAGTATCTGCCAAATGATTCCATTTATATGAAGTCCTAAAATAGGCAAATGGTTATTTACCGTAGTCTAGTGACAGAAAACATAGAAGTGGTTACTGGGGGAAGGAGTACTCACTGGAAAAGGGCATGAGGAAAGCTTCTGGGTTTAGTGAAGTGTTTCGTATCTTTATTAAGGTAGTTAACGTTTGTCATCAAAATTAAAATTTGTACATTTTATTGCATGTAGGATACCCTCAATTAATTTGGTTTCCAACAAACAGAACTGAACGCTTTCAAAAATGTATTACTTGCTAACTAGGATGCAGCCAATAAACACTCTGCAAAAGGAACCATTACAGGGATTTCTCTAATCTTAAAACTGCTCAGTAAATACCTTTCTTGTCACAAGGCACACGTTCCTGTAGCCCATTTCATTTAGGCCCTTTCTAACAAACATATCACACTGTTCATAGCTGAAATGGTATTCCCTCAATGCTATAAGAAGTGGTACAAACACAGGGGTTCTTGACACATCCTCACAAGAAGTCACATGGTGGGAGATCTGGAGACCAATATTCCAGAGCCAGGTCAACTTTTTGAGCATTATCCAATCCATGCCATGAAATGTGTACATTAAGAAACTCTGGGGGCGCCTGGGTGGCGCAGTCGGTTAAGCGTCCGACTTCAGCCAGGTCACGATCTCGTGGTCCGTGAGTTCGAGCCCCGCATCGGGCTCTGGGCTGATGGCTCAGAGCCTGGAGCCTGTTTCCGATTCTGTGTCTCCCTCTCTCTCTGCTCCTCCCCCGTTCATGCTCTGTCTCTCTCTGTCCCAAAAATAAATAAACGTTGAAAAAAAAAAATTAAAAAAAAAAAAAAAAAAGAAACTCTGGACTGCATAATGGAAGTGAGGCAGAGCCTCATCCTGATGGAAAATGGGGATGTTGGAGATTTTGCAGCTGTGGGAAAAACCATTCCATCATTGTGTCCATGATTATACCATCATTTCCATTTGATGGATCTTTGGCAAAAAGGAATTGATGAAGACCTGTGTGCTTCACGTGGCACAAAAGATTTACTTTCAGTGAATCCCTGAAAAGTTCCATTGTAAAATGTTGTTTTTCAATGTCCCACATATGTGGAGGTTATGATCCATTTTTCCACTTTTTGCACTTCCCTGTGACCCTGAAATCTGCAGCAAGACTTGTATCAATTTGCATTAACAGTCTCAATGTGGGCTTGCAACAGGTTAAACAGATTAGTCTCCATTTATGGAAAATGCTCCAGATGGTAGGCTGAGGGATGCCTTCCTTAATTTCCACATCCTGGGACTTTTATAAACAAGGACACGAATTTGCCTCACTGCTTCCTCTGCAGAGGTGGCTGCCTTGTGTTCTTTTAAGATGTATCCTTTCTGTTCCATCTTATTGCACCAATGGTAATGGTGACTGCTGGGTATGTATTCATTGTCTGGTAACGCATGACCTTTGCACTGCAGCAACAACCAACCAACTTCAGCAGACTCCGACATACAAAATTAAGTGTCGAAGAGAAACTCTACAAATTGGTGCACATCACATTTATGTATAAATGTTACTGTTACTGAATAATAAAATTTTGAAAGCAGTCAATTCTTTTATTGTTCTGTACACTGCTTAAACAGATATAAAATAATTAAACACATGAACAGAAAGGATACACATAAACTTCCATTTGGTGCTTGCTTCTGCTGAGGGAAGGGCAGGAATAGGAGGAGGACAAGAATGGGTCTCAACTGTGTCAACTGTATCTTGAAAAAACAAAACAAAACAATGGAGGCAAATGTGGCAAAATGTTAACGTATTTTAGATCTGAGTACCTAGTGAGTGTTATTTTCTGGATTTTTCTATATGTTCGATGTAGTTAATACTTTTGTTAAAT